TCCTTCCTCCTATTTTCCCCACAACGATGACTCTGTGATGTGGATTGGGATGAGGAAGAGTGTCAAGTCAAAGGTCACCTAGCTGGTTTGAATGCCTAAGGCAGGACTGGAACTCACTTGTTTCCTGGTGATTGCCACAAAGCCACCTAGCCGACTTAAACACCTAAGTTAGGACTAGAACTCACCGTCTCCTGGTGATTGGCCCAAAGTCGTCCATTCAGTTTATCTGCCTTAGGCAGGACTAGAACTCACCATCTTCTGGTGATTGGCCCAAAGTCATCCATTCAGTTTATCTGCCTTAGGCAGGACTAGAACTCACCATCTTCTGGTGATTGGCCCAAAATCACCTAGCTGGCTTTCATGCCTAAGGTGGGACTAGAACTCCCAGTCTCCGGGTTTCTAGGCCAGCACCTCCACCAATCCACCAAACTGGATCTGCTGAGTTCAGAATATTCAGTAGGTCTAGATTTGATTGCTGCCATAGCCTCAAGCCACATTTGCAGCCTTTCGACCCCGTAGTTCTCTTTCTGCAGCTAGTTGTGGTTCTTAAATGAACGCACACACAAAATACGTTTGATGGCTCTATCCGCTCCTTCTCTTTGAGAAATTGTACAGGCTGAGCGGGAGCCAGCAGAACAAAGAGTTACCTGCTTCTTTTGGCCTTCTTGTTCCCTCCTTGGCGACTGCAGTGAGGTCAGTTTTTGAAAGCAGAAGGAGAGATCTTTAGCTGCCTGCAACTTGGGAACTCACATGTGGCGGCTTGCCAAAGTTTGAATCTTAGCTTCTTGGAAGACGTGAAGGTATTAGCTGGCCTGGCATTTGGTAATGGGAATCCTCCATGGATTGAATGGGGAGCATTTTCCTCTAGCAATCCTCCATTCACTTGGCTCATTGATCTCGCGAAGGCAGCTCCAGATGGCATGGTTTTTTTTCCAGTCCCGATTCATTCCAGGAGTATTAGAACTGACGGTAGAATCATCTTTATTTCTGTGATCTTCAATGGCTGGGAACAGACATTAGATCACAATGTTCCCTCCAGCTGAGCATCTGAAGGGCGCAAAAGTTACCATCCAAGCAATTCTCCTGTTTTCACAGCTGCAGGGTTTCTCAACCTTGGCGGCTTGAAGAGGTATGGACTTCAACTCCCAGAATTCCCCAGCCAGCCACAAGCCTGACACGAGTGACGTCGAGCTGGCCACACCCACCATGACCATGCCTACACACAAACACACACACACACACACACACACACACACACCAAGTTCAAACAAAACCCTGATGTGGCCCTCAATGAAATAGAGTTTGACATCCCAGTCCTAGGTAAACACTAATTCTGATACTGATCAAAGTCACATCTGCCCTAAAATTTTCTTTATACCACTAACTGTTTTAAAGGTAAAGGTAAAGTTTCCTCTTGCACATACGTGCTAGTCGTTTCCATCTCTAGGGGGCAGTGCTCATCTCTGTTACAAAGCCAAAGAGCCAGTGCTGTCCAAAGACGTCTCCGTGGTCATGTGGCCTGCATGACTAAACGCCTTCGAAGGCGTACAGAACGCTGTTACCTCCCTACCAAAGTGTGGTCCCTATTTTTCTACTTGCATTTTTACATGCTTTTGAACTTCTAGGTTGGCAGAAGCTGCTGGGACAAGTAACGGGAGCTCACTCCATTATGCGGCGCTAGGGATTCGAACCGCTGAACTGCCAAGTTTCTGATCAACAAGCTCAGCTTCTTGGCCACCGAGCCACCGCGTCCCCAAGTAACTGTTCTAGATCTTCCTAAATATACTTGATGCCCCTGATCTGGGCCTGATTAAGGAAAAAGTACAAGGGACGGTTCCGCTGTGTCTTTTATTTGGAATCATAGATGCAATAACCTTGCCTGAGGCCTATCTAACCCCCTGTTGCAGAAGAAAAGTAGTATTTTCACGGATGGTGCCGGAGCTCGTAACCAGCTTCCTTCAAAGCTGCAATAACAGTTTAACAACTATGAGGAAGAACTTTTATTGTGGAAGCATTAAATGTTTTTGCCTAATGATCGAAAATAATAAAATCCTAGCCTTTGACAGTTAAGAGAGCATTAAAAGAAAATAGACGGGCTGGCATATAGGCAGAGTCTCTTGTGCCAGAGGATCGACTGAAGGCAGGACAAGAAACCACGGATGGAAACTCATCAAGGAGAGAAGCAACCTAGAATTAAGGAGAGACTTCCTAACAGTGAGGACAATTAATCAGTGGAACAGCTTGCCACCAGAAGTTCTGAGTGCTCCATTCTGTTATTCTTTAATCTTATATCAATTAATCAGTGGAATAAGTTGCTTGCAGAAGTTTTGGGTTCTGCAACATTGGAGGTTTTTAAGAAAAGACTGGATAGGCACTTGTCTGAAATGGTATAGTTCTCCTGCTTGGACTAGAAGACCTTCCAGCTCTATTCTGATTGATTGACTGCAGTTTATTTATATTTATTTATATAAGGAAAGTTTGGTAAAAAGTTTGGGAATATTGTCAAACTGAAAATTCTCTCTCCTTCTCTAGAAGCCTAGAGTTAAAAGATTTGCTGAGGTCACTAAATCCAAACCTTCTACGGTAGAGATTCTCATTCTTGGTCATTTTTAAGATACATGGACTTCATCTCCCAGAATTCCCCAGCCAGCTGGCTGGGAAATTCTGGGAGATGAAGTCCATGTATCTTAAAATGGCCAAAGTTGGAGAAAACTGTTCTATGAGAATATGCATGAAAACATCCCGAGCAAAACTTTGTCCAGTCACATCCAGCAAGAAGAATTCAGCAGTTCACTTAAAGTTATATTATTTATTTTAAATTGAGACCTTCCAGATATTTTGAATCTTCCCTAATTTTAACTATTGGGGTTTATTGAGGTGGCAAAATAGCTAGAGAATTCCTATCCTATCCTAGTCTAAAATTAGAGATTGCCTATTCTTATTTAAACAAACTGGTTTCATAAACTAAAATAACTCAAGTTTTTAAAATTATGGTTTGTTGAATTTGTTACGGTTGTCTGGAACTGCAAAATAGGCAATACCAACAATTGAAGTGGAAAATGCTTGAGTTTGCAACTTTGCACAAGACACGAGGACAAAGGCTGTGTGCAAAAAGTAATATATAAAACCCAAAAATACACATTGTGGCTTAGTGGGTAAACCAGGTTAGAGCGTAGCCCTCTTCTGCACAGCAAGAATGTGAAACAAACAGCATTCAGAATAGCATCCACATTTAAGCAAATGTATTTAAGAAGGAATGGAAAACAATAAAAGTGAGGCAATATAGAAGGAAGACTATTTTCATTGTTCTCACTTTTCTTTTTCAGGGGGAAGTGCTGATTTTTAAAAAGAAAAGTAATAGATATGGTCTGGCAATCTATACAACTTTTCTCTAACACAATCTGGATGTGTCCCCACACAGGAGCCAGTAAGCATTCGACGAAATGGGAGAATCACTTTTCCTCATTGAAAAATGGGACTGGAGAGTATAACTCTGCTTTCAAGATTAGCTTGATGGATTGTGAAGAGGTGTACACTCATGTGCCATTTCTGGAGTTCCTCTGTGTAAAAATAGAGCCCAGCCCATTGTTAATGCTTAGTTACACAGCAAGGATGGGAGAGTGAATGAAAAAGCCATTAGCTTTGCATTTTGTCAAGGAAAAACGGGTGTTTTTTTTTTAAAATAAAAAGACAGCTCATCAAGAATTACGTGTCTGGCAATTCTGAGACGGTTCCCAGGAGCATTTTTCCCTCTATGCCATGTGAAATATGTACTGCTTTGCAGTGCGTATTTTACCATTTTTAACACCCTTAATGTACCTTTAATTTACTGCTCATCTTTCTTGTGATCCGCAATCTCCAACAGAGCACACACATATTAATTTCAGTGACATACCGGGCATGGTAGATAATAATAATAAAAACAATAGCAACAATAACAGCAAACCGTACCTGCGATTTATTTATTTTTAAAAAGATTGCTCTTTTTAGGCTGATTTAAGGATTGATAGCGATTTGGGGGAATAGCCCTGACCGGAGCTGTTGCGACTCATCACCAAAACGATTTTCAATTTTTCTAAAAAAGGGAAAAAAGTTTATGCATTCATCAATAAATAAATACATATTAAAAATATAAATATTTTAAAAATATATTAAAACATTTGTGCATGCAATAAATTATATAAATACATAATTTATTATATATATATATTATATATATGATAAGAATTTTATATATATATAATTTTATATATATATATATGTATGTATGTATGTATGTATGTATGTATGTATGTAGGTCTAGGTGTGTTTGGGTCTTTTCCCGTGTAAGATTAAGAGTAAGGGTTTTACAATTGTTTTGTCTGACTCACAGAGGAACACAATACAGAAGCCTGATGATGGCAGATGAGATTCTACAACTTTAAAAGCACAAGTATAATGGGAAAATACCCGAACAAAGCTGAATAATATATATGTAATACCTGAACAAAGCTGAATAATAATATATATATATCAAATTGATAGATACACATTATTTATTTATTTATTATTATTTTAGATAATGTATACAGCCCTGGCTCACAGAGACTCTAGGAGGCTTACAGATAACAATGTAGAAAAAAATAAATAAAATAAAATAAAATAAAATAAAATAAATAATAATAATAATAATAATAATAATAATAATAATAATAATAATAATTTTTTAAAAAGCCCCTCCCACCCTTCCCAAACTTCCCAGCATTAGTCAGGCTGGGTGCCAATCCCGGTGGAGCCCCTCCTCCCCCTCCGAAAGTGGGGGGAGGGGTTGGAAAGCGCCCGCCTCCCCGCTCCCTTTCCAGCCCCTCCCTTCGGCCCTCCCTCTCCCCCACCCCTCCCCGCCCTCCCTCTCCCGCATGGGAGTTGTAAACAGTTGCCTCCCCCTTCTTTCGGCAGGCCCCGCCCCCTCCCGGTCCCCCGCTCGCATCTCATTAGCATAGATTAACGCCGGCGGAGCCGGAGTGCAGGTGCGGAGCCGGCGAGAGGGGAGCGCGAGGCGGCAGAAGGGAGCGCGGCAGGATGCGGTCGGCGCGGAGCTGCAGGCACTCGCCTTTGGCGGCCGCGGCGGGGATTTTGCTGCTGTGCCTGGCGGGCCGAGGTAAGCGCTGAGGCGGCGGAGGCGGCGGAGGCGGCTCCGTCTCTCGCCCTGCCTCGCCTCCTCCCCGGGTGGCTTCCCTTCCAACCTCGCCCGCTTGTGTCCTCTAACCGCGAAACCGGCGCTCCTTGCGGGAAGCCGGGGAGGAGGAGGACGAGGAGACCGGGAAGCGGGGCAGAGCCGAGCCGAAAGACCCAGCCGGGCAAGGGAACCGCAGCTGGACCCGGCGTGCCCTCCTCCCGGGAGCCGAGGATCGGGCGCTCCCCTCCCCGTCGCCCCTTCTTTCTCCCCGCATCGGGCTGACCCTAACGGTTCCCCCCCTCCTCCCCGAAGACGGTTGCAGCAGCGAAGGGCCTCGTGGGGCTGGAAGGGGGCCGAGCGGGAAGCGAACAATGACCGAGCGCTCGCTCGCTCGCTCGCTTGGCCGGGGCGCGCTGCAGGGGCCGCGCTGCGCTCAGCCGCCCGGCGAGGCTTTTGTTAAGACGGACCAGCGTGGCTCTCTGTGTGTGTGTGTGTGTGTGTGTGTGTGTGTGTGGTGGGGTGCGCTCGCACGGGGTGTCCCGTTCCCACTTCGGCGAGCCACGCGTGGATGGCTTCGGGGGGTCCCTTCCCCCCCCCTATTCTCTGCCCGATAGAGGGGAGGGGGGGTTGCCTTGGAAGCCCCCCCTCCAGCCCCCCCCTCCAAGAGGTCGTTCCTTCCTTTCAACTCCTAAAATTAGATTTTGGGGAGCGGGGAAAGCGGGGGGGGGGGGGACGACACACAGGTCTGGATTCCGTGCTTGCTTGCGCCTATTGCGGAGTAGAAGTGTGTATGTGTCTCTCTCTCTGTGTGAAAACCTCACAATTTCTGAAGCCCCCCCCCCCCCGCTTTTTTTTTCCCCCCCCCCCCCCCCTTTTCCCCGGGGGGGGGGGGGGGGGTTCGGGGGGGGGGGGGGGGGGGGGAAGGAGGGTTGCTTGTTTGGTGGTCGCTTCCTTTTGTTGGCGTCTAAATTGTGCTTTTATTTTATATTGTATATTATTATTATTATTTTGCATCCGGCTCCGCTCAAATGGATCGTGGGGCTAAAATAAAAAAAAAAAGGCAGCTAAATAGCTACATCATCTCTCTTCTACCCCCCCTTCTCTCTTTCTCTCCCTCCACCCCCCCCTTTTTTTCCCTTTTGCCCTCATTCTTCTCTCCCAACAGCAGCAACCGGGTGCCTGCCACGAGTTCCCTTCCCCCCCTCCCATAGAAGGGGAAAAAAAATATATCCTGTGAAGGCGTCCAGCCTCAATTCCCATCCATTCCCAAGCCGGCCCCCCTTTGTCCCATTTTTTTCCTTCCTTCCCCCCCCCCCCTTCCCTGCAAGGCCATGTGGTGGCTTGACCGCTGAACCCCCTTCTCTCTGTCTCCCCCACAACGACCTTCCTTGGACGTGGCTCTGATTAACGGGGAGAATTGTACAAGGGAAAAATGGCGTTTCCAAATCACACACCTTCCCCCCCCCCACCGTCCCCCACCATCCTGGGTATCAATTCCCATCTGATGCAGCAACCCCGGGGAAGGGGGGGTGGCTGGGTTTGACGGGAAGAGAGAACAAAGCCCCGGGAAAGTAAGATTTTTTTGGGGGGGGTGGGGGAGAAAAAGAAAAAAAAAGAAAGAAGACAAGTAGGAAAAAAAAAACATTTTGATATCCAGGAGCAGCCTGGTCGATTTGAATTTAAGTACAAGGACTTAAGTGTCCCTTTGATTCCAGTGTTTCGGTTTAATGGCCTTGTGGAGGGTCTGAGCTGAGCCAGAAAAAGGCCCTTTTTTTTAACCTACCATCTTGCGGTGGGTGGGAAACTCATAGTAAAGGTCAGAAACCCCAGCTTTACCAGAAGAGCGCTGAACTTTTACTTTGTAAGTGGCTGGCCTCTCAATCAATCAATCCATCGATGGATCCGCTTTCTCTTTGGCGAGGTCAGCTTTTGTTCCGGGCAGAAGTTCCCAGGCAAGTGCAGCCTGGTGGAAGCCTGCAGTCTTTCTCCCAGGTGTGCAAGTCTTCCAGGCCGTTTCTCTCGCTGTGATCTTTTTTTTTTTCTTGCGAAGCCATCCACCTCTCTTGTCCTTCACCACTCAAGGATGCAATTATAAGGCAGGCCGGCGAATGGCTCGGACGAGAAATTGCGTGTGGCAGGAGGCAAATGGGGCTTGAAGTCGAGTTCCGTGTTTGCGAGCGTCTGCGGGTGACCTTTACATGTTCTCCTACCCATCGTCTATCAGCTGGTTAGGTACTTTTCAGCTTAGGTAATTGGTTTATTTCATCACCATAATAAAATGGGCAGAGACGGTGAAAGGGGGCTTCTGGGCTAGTCTGGCTTGCTCTTCAGCTGGGAGGGCCAAGACATTAAAATATATAAATATATATATATAAATATATATATATAAATATATATATATAAATATATATATATATAGAATAGAGTTGGAAGGGACCTTGGAGGTGTTCTAATACATTTAAATGTTAAGTCCAACTTTGCTTAATAGCAAGTATTTAAAAATTGGTATTTTTGCAGAACTCTTCGTGCGTCATTTCCTAGTATGTGACCTGGGTTTTATGATGAAATACATCTTTAGGAAAAGGAACTTCAAAATGTAAAACGTTCTTGTTAAAGATACGTGTGCATTTTATTAATTTTGGGACAAGCCTGTTAAAGCGTATCCGATCCCTGGAAGCTTGTCTTCAGAAAATGTGAACTGTTACAGGGCAAGCTGTTTGGGAGAAACCATCCAAAATTGCTGATGGACTGAGAAAAGCCTTCGTTGTTTTTTTTCTTTCTTTTCTTTTCAAATATAGTCTTTTCAGTTATTCTGTTCCCCAGGATAAAGCAACCTGGCAGATTTTGAGTTCAATTTCAACCAGATTTTCAATTCCGCTTTTGTTGATGCCGTTTATCATCATCAGGGCAGACCTAAAAGCCCAATTATTTATTTATTGTAAGCTAGTGCTTCAGGCTTGGCGTTTTTCTTTTTCTTTTGGGCTGGAAAAGCAGCAGAGAAAAAAAAGTGTGAATGCTGTACATGCATGAGTCGCTCAAAATAAAACTGTTGGATGTTCCCTGTGTCTCCCATTGCTTGGTTTTAAAAAAATAAAATAAAATAACAGGGACAGAAGATTTAGCAACTGGAAGAGAGAGAGAGAGAGAGGGAGGGAGGGAAAGAAAGAGAGAGGGGGGGGGGAGGGACGGAGAGAGCGAGAGAAAGAGAGCGAGAGAAAGAGAAACCCACAAGTTTTGAAGCAGAGAAGGGCATTTGAAAGGCAGAAGCTCTGGCTGCGAAATGAAAGGGTTTGTTCAACTGAGATGGGAGATATGGCCAGTGTTAGATGGGCTCGTGCAAGAGGGAGTAATGCTCAGCCAGCGGGGGAAGTGATAGCAGAAAGTGCCTGTGATACGGGGAAGAGAGGAGGGGGCGAGGATCTGGTTGCAAAGAAAATGGGAACTGGTCTTGACTTTAATTTTGTGACTTTGCAACGAACTCTCTTCTGTTCCTTATCAGAGGCAGCAGGTCCCTGAACTGGGTAATTGCATTCTGCTTTAATCAATAGCTGGACTAAATCTACTTTCTAGGTCAGGGAGAGGAGGGTGTGTTTTTCTGCCCCTCCTCTTTCTCCACTGCTCCTTCCCTTCCCTACTTTACACACCCTTCAGGCCGCAGAACTGGAATTAAGGGTGTGGGGCAGCCACCGGGACCAGAGGTATGACAGGAAATTGTCTTCAAAGCAGCCTTTGGATGGGTTAATTAATTAGAGGCTCTTGCAATTCTCGAGTTTGGAAGGACAGGGCTAGCGTCCTGGGGTTTGTCCAAGGCCTTGGGGCTTGTAGGCTCATTAGATGTTTTTAAACATACGTAATACTCCTTCCCTCCTCCCATGTTCCCCACAACAACAACCCTGGGAGGTGGGTTGGGCTGAGAGAGAGGGGAGTGGCCCAAAGTCCCCCAGCTGACTCTTTCATTTAAGGTGGGACTAGAACTCACTGTCTCCTGGTGATTGGCCCAAAGTCCTCCATTGACGGAAGCCATTCTCTCTGTAGAAAAAGAGGCATATGCTTATCAGAATAAGACATTCTGCACATGCTTAAAAGTGCTGTGTTTGGCATTTCCATTTCTATTTGCAAAGCAAGTGACCTAGTCTGTTGGGTTTCCTTCCTTCCTTCCTTCCTTCCTTCCTTCCTTCCTTCCTTCCTTCCTTCCTTCCTTCCTTCTACACTCCCTCCCTTTCCTCCCTCACTCCTTCCTTCCACACCCCCTCTCTCCTTCCTTCCTTCCTTCCTTCCTTCCTTCCTTCCTTCCTTCCTTCCTTCCTTCCTTCCTTCCTTC